GACATCACAAAATAAATTTTAATTTTATTTTTTTTAAATATTGAATAATATGATATTGAAGATAAAGAACAGATGTCTAAAAAAATTGCATAAACAAGACAATTATAAATTATTAGTTCATTTTGATGTTAACCTTAAATCTAAAAAAGGATGACAATTAAACAATGAAAAAAAATATTCAAGAAAAATTATCGAATTCAAGTTTCATAAATTTGGGAGTTGAAATAGTAAATCTTAATCTTCAAAACTTTGAATTATATTGGATAAATAGTTAAAATATTCCTAGTCTATTAAAAAGCTTGTCTGAATTATTAAAAGAATTAAATACTAGCAAAATAATTTTAGAAGGAAATAATGATTAAGAATCATTAATTTTTAATTTTTTTAATTATTTTAATTGTTAATCATTTTGCTTAAATAATAAATCAATATTGATTAAATAGGTTAATTATTCTGCTTCGTGGGAAGAAAATTCTGGCAAAGATATGAGGTAAGACGTTTTTCTTAAAATATCCAAAAATATGTGATATAATGAATTAATATATGTATCATATTGACTTTATTGGAGAATTTTATTTTCATGATGTCCTCTAACTAAAACATAGATAATTATATATTTATTGAAGCACGAACTCTATTCAGAATTGCAACATGATTTACAATTTCTCTAATTTAATAAAACTTCAATATCAAGTTTAATAAATCAAAATAGTTTTTTTCATTTGATGAATTTGATTTTAATATTTTTAAGGCACTGTCGCAAGTTGCTGATGAAAAATTAAAGCCTCCATTCAAAAGTAAGCATTAAATAACCTTCATCTTATCAGTAACAAAACAAAGTATTTAATTTGATAGCTAAAAAAAATGCCCATTTTTCAGTACTATTATGAGCAAAAGTAAAAACTGAATATAATCTACATCTATCAGATTTAAATTGAATAGCGAACAATCGCTCTATCTATCTACACATTCGTAACTGCTGTAGAGACAATTTGACATTACTTGTAAACATATTCAATCAGAATCATACTTAATCCCAGTTAAATCAGAGCACTATAAATTTTGATAAGTATGATTCTTTCATAAACATTTTGAGTAATAATTAGGAGTATTCCATCTTCAAATGTGTATTTGATGGCTGAATTGTTTTCACAAATAAATTGAGTATTAAAATTTGAACATTTTATAGAGTCAACACAACACTAATTCCATTAACATTCTGCAGCGAGAGTTAATTAAAAACTTTTTTAAATTATTCATCCATTACTATTTGTTACATAGCCTAATTAAAAATTCTTACATTCAAAATTCGTGTTATAAGTACTTGGAGCATCCTAACAAGTACTCTTTTAACATTTTCCATCTGTGCCACCTTTGCATTTTCCATCAAATTCTATCGTTGAAGCTTCCATCATATTCATTACATAATTTCAAATTATACACCCATTCCATTCAATTGGTCTTACAAAGTTTCGATATTTTCTATAATTATTCATCTGCCACATGTTTACTATCACTATCTTAGACAAAATCCTTTACAGAACATGCCTGTTGATTATCATCTATTCCTTTATACATCCCCTCTAAATCTATTAATCACAAACAAGTATTTTTATTTCCCTTATAACTTGAACAATTTTGCAAAGTAGTTACCCATGATTTTCCTATAGTAACTTAACCAATTTTATATTTTTAGCAATCCTCAGCTGAATTGAATAATCCATTTTCACAAATTCTACTTCTAAAATTCTAACTTCTCCTCATATTCGGAAATTCCATCTCACCCTACATAACCAATAAAATCTTAATTCTAAGTATTACATGGCCATAATTTTTCTACACATCCCCTTCCTGTGCTGACACATCCCTTCAAATACTAATCACACTGCTTTTCTTTTCTCTAAGTAATTGAAGCAGTTTCACATTTTTTTTGTACATTAATGTATAAGATTGAGATTTTCCTAATATTTATTGGAATTTAATTTTCCTTAATTTAATTAGCCAATTTTTTTTGAAAATTCAACACTCTCGATCAAGAATAACAGAATTAACTACTTTACAACAATCAAATGGTCCATATAATCCAATTTATTTACTACAATCTTGCCCTGAACTTTTATCTGTCTTCCATTCATCTTTAGTGATACAACCAAGCCTAAATTTAGAAAATTTCTAATCAATAATCAGCCCTATTCCTGCTTCGCTACAAAATTCATCCCTACATTTCTAATTTCCTGAATCCCATTTACAATGGCAAGATCCTATTTTTCGTTAATACTCATCATTTAACACTCGAACATCCTAAATTTTCACAAATTTCCTCAATCTCCTTCGGATATACGGTATAACGATATTTGTTGACAATCGAAGCATGCTCGGAATAAAAATGTAGAGCAACCTGTAAAAATTATGCAGCTTGAATTAAAGTAAGCATAACCTTTTACTTTGGAACAATTTTGTGCTGGATTTAATATGCTCTTGCAATAATCAGCTCATCCACCTGAATTTCCTTAATCCACATTCGAACCGCTATCAATAAATATCCCCTCTTTAATCTCATTATCTGTACTCCAAAGACAATTCCCATATTCACAATCCTGTTTTCTAATAAGTTTTGAGCATTCCGAACATTATTCCAATTACAAAACACTAAACCAAAAATAAACTTCCAAAAGTGCCATTTATAATTATTAAAATTCTTAATTATATAGATATTTTTCAATAATTTCTCTAGATATTTAAAATTTAGTCAATTTAAATATGACTATTTTAAAGTATCCCCTTTTTCTTACTTTTAAATCATCAATATATGCTAGGAAAATTTTTTAATTAAGAGAGAGGACTCCACAAAAACTAGAATATGCAACAAAAAGGATTCATAAATTATTTAATATACTAATTACTATCTATAAGTATTTAATTAAAATAATAATTTTAAATTAGTGAAAATATCATTTAAATATAGATAAAATATTTATGATTAATAACATTAGAGAAAGTTAAAGAATAAAAACTTTAGGTTGATGTCTGGGATTTAGTATATCAACGGATCACTCTCAATTATTTGTATTTAATTAGATATATAGGTAGAGTAGCCAACTTTATGCCAAGAAAATTCAGTTGTAGAAAGAGGATTAAGCCTTGTTTAATCCCTTGTTTAAAAGATCGATTTGCAGGATGAAGAGGGACTTTTTCACTCATTTTAAAGAGATCTTAAGGTCCTTGCAGTTATATTTTGTAGAATGTGTTTAATTTTTTGGAGTAGAAGTTTTCTGATGTTGCAAAACTTAATTGAAATTATCTTAGCAAATATGAGTAGAAAAAGATTTTGCATTTTGCTACAGTCTTTTTTTTATAAGTTAAAAAGAGTTCATAAGTGACATTAAGGAGCTTTCTTTCTCAAAAATAAGAATTAAGAACCATATAACCAAAGTTGCAAATGAAAAGAAGTTGTTTTAATCATGTATTCGATTTTTAAGGAGCCAATATATATGATATTTTAACTCTTAAGCACTCTATACTGCAAACTACTCTTGATTTTGTAAATGGAATCTGAACTTTTTTTTTTCTAGATAAAATCTGTCCTGAACTATAAAGACTTAAATCATATTTATAAAATAAGTTGGGAATAAATTTAATAAAATCTTTAACAGGAACTAATAATTATAATAATTTTTCCTCACTATTTTACTAATCTTATCAAATTTCTTAAAGAATTGAATTTAACTATAAATTTGATTAATTGATTAATTCATCAAAGAATTCTGCTTACAAAAAATAGGAAGTCATCTTGAATGTAAAATTATTATTCATTGTTTCATTTGTTTTTACTGATTATTACCTAAAGACACTGGATTGTAGAAGGTTGTTTTGATATGTTAAAGGTTTCTCATATACGCTAAGTTAATCAGTAATTACGATAATTAGATGGTAATTTTTTCTAATTGTCATTTAAGCGAGCCACGAGCATATCTCTTTATTATTAATCCTTTCTTTGAAAATATAGTTGTATTTTTATCAAAGTTTTTCAAAATTATATTTGCTTTGAATATAGGCTCAACTCTATTTTGATTCTAAACCAATAATTACGATTATAGTATTAGGCTAAAACTAGTGTGTCGTGTGTCTTCCAATTTATCAAAGGTGATATTTAGCTACCCAAGGCTATGCATGGGTATCAAGAATACCCACTTTTAAAGGCCTTCATGACTCCAAACCTAGACAGCGAATTTTTATTATTGAACCCTTCCTTGTAGGCTGAGATCCTACACCAGAAAGACAGACTAAACCAATATATAAAATACATGAGAAAAATATTTTGACTCTTTCCCAAGTGCAACTATTTTTTAAGGTTTTTTTTTGACTCTTTTGCTAAAGGCATCATGTAGTAATTTCATTAATTTGTTATTCTTAACTTCTTTAATGATTCTATTCTATTGTTACTTAATACTTCTGATTTGAATTTAGAAAAGAATCATTTATTAAAGTAGCTCTGAAATAAAATGATGATTTATAAAAATTTATGGAATTAAGATTCAAGCAAAAAATTGATTAATATTTGTAGTTGAAAATAACTATCAAACAAAATGGGTTTGTAAAAGGAGGAAGAACTTCAATTAAATTATGTATTATATAATATAGATATAAAGGTACAAAAGAAGTTAAAATTAGCATAAGCCATTGATTTTTCTTCAGCATATACCAATAAGGAGAGAAACTTTATTAAATTTTGAGGGATAAAAACATTATGGAAAAAAAAATCCATTTTTAAAAGCTGAATATTAGAGAGAAGAGAGACAAATAAAATGTATTATTTTAAGGATGGGTACCTATGAGATCATCTTTATCTTCTGGTTTATTTAATATTTATTAAGAATTATTTTTGGAATAAATATGCTGAGCATCTATGCGTAACAATTAAGAATAAATATATTTAACTTTTAAGAGTAATGTGGATTTTGATATAGAATAATGCTAAATGTGGTTTTATTAATCTCAAATATTAATTAGACAAAAATAAATATATTGAAAGAATACCAATTGTTGACGAATATTCATATTTGGGAATTAATATGAACATATAAGGAAATTTGAAGAATCAAAGAATAAATTGAAATAAATAATTAATTTGATAGTCAAAAAATTAAGATGGATACAATAATTCAAAAGTTTTAAAGTGAGAATTAATTTTTGGATTTAATTCATCAGATCGCATTTCTAATACATCCTGGCTGCCTTATATTTTCATTAAATCAATGCTTATTATAAGAAAATTAATCAATGATATAAAAAGATCTTTGAAAATATGAATAATATTTCCTAAAGCTACTTTTGATTAAATTATGAATAGTTCTGATTAGCCTATTTAAGATAGAATGTATAGTAAGACTCTAATAGTAAATTTTAAATGGGAATTATCAGTAATATTAGAGGAATATTATTAATATTCCTAAAATAGCAAATACTACATCTATGAAATAAAATCTTAAAAATTAGCAATGGAATAAAAGGTAAAAATGGCGTTAATATAAGATAGAATAATAAAAAGACCATAATTGATTCGAAAAGAAAATATGATTTATATAATTATATTATTTTAATTTTTCTTTTTCGTCCTTAATTATCTTTATAATCAGTATCATTTAGATTTTCATCAATTCAATTTAATCCATAGCTATTTGTCTATAATAGCTTATTAGACAATTGATAATGGGATTTAGTGATAGTTTTTTGTTATCAAAGCTAAAATAAAGGACATAATTATCTAACTCTACACCTTGATAATTTTCAAACCCTTCTTCAAGATTGAACTTAAGAACAATTATTGACAGAACAATGCAAAATAAAAAAATTAGGATATCAATTTTTAATTTAAATATTTATATTATCGCTCAGTTCTTTAGTTGAATCGGTATCAATGACATATAAGATAAATCGCAATCATCTGATAGTAAATAGTTCAGGATTTAATCAAAATAAAGGGTATTGATACAATTAGCATACCAGTAATCTGAAGCCCCAAGATGTAGTTTAGTTATGTCAGTCTGTTTCTCTCCTGATGGAATCACATTAGCTTCTGGTAGTAGTGATTAGTCTATCTTGGGATGTCAAAACAGGATAATAAAAAGCCAAATTAGATGGTCATACTAATATTGTCTACTCAGTCTGTTTCTCTCCTGATGGAAATACATTAGCTTCTGGTAGTGATGATAACTCTATCCGCCTATGGGATATCAAAAACAAGTATTATTCAGATTATAGATTTAAAGAAATTTAGGTTAAAAATACAAGATATCCTTTTTTTGACACCCCTTTGCAGTAAAAGAATATTATTTAAAATTTAGATACATCTAATATTTAATTTTTCAAGGTTTAAAAGAGTTTTTTATAAAAAACCGTTTCCTTTTAGGAGAATTATTGGAGTAACACTTGATTAATTTAAAAACTAACCTATATTAACCCTTAATTTAAATCTATTTTAATTTACTTCTTGTGTCCAATATTTGTTGATAGAATTCTATTTTATAGTTTTTTTTCTTTTTTAACAATCTTGAAGCATTACTAAAATGGAAATTAATTTAGCACATATTAGAATATTATGAAATAGAACTTTTAGTTGCATGAATGCAATAATATCTTAAATCTTTGTATTCTGTTTTTTTGGTATTATTCTTATCATAACCAAGCATTTTCTCTCAATTTATATTCGAATGTGAATTGTACAAGATTTATTAAGTAAATTCTACAACTAAATCTTTCAGCATTTATCATTTCTAAGTTTTCTAATCTTCGTATTTCTCGAGAGTTGATATATTCTAATATTCCTATTATTTTTATTAAATTGATTTTATAAACTTTAAATTTTAACAATGTTATTGAAAGATTTGTTTGTGGATATTTAAGAGAAAATACCCATGCATTTAAGTATAACTAATATGAATGCTTTTTTATATATCTAAATAATTTTTCGGTCCAATTTATCTTAAGAGGTTGTTATTGAGAAGATAAATTTTATTAAGATTATCCATTATGTTTATCAAATAGCAATAATTATTTCCTTTTTAATTCTACAATTTAGGTGCAATTTCTTAGTAATAAATGTTATTTTTTGATGTATGTAAAATTCACGTTGAACTCAAGTTAATCAATAATTAAGATTCATATATAATACGTTGGAGAAGATATAATTATCTCCTTAAATCTTAATAATATACAAAAATATACTACTTTTTAATGATTAATATATTTTTTTTTAAAGTTTTTTAATATCTTTGGCGATTAACAGTTGATTGATACATTATCTTGAATTGAGAGTAATATTTAAATTAATCAATATCATATTGTTAACTTTTGTTATATAGTTTAGATTATATTCTAAGATTAACTTTATTTTTTTAATCCTTGTCATATCTTTTTTATTATTATCTTTTTTCTTAAATATATCTTTTAATATTTATAAACTAATTATACAAAATTATTAATTATATCTATTAAAACTTATGTTTATAAATATTAATAAATTAAATAAATTATCAGAATATCTTATGAAATAATCATCCAGTTTTGTTAGGTTAGGTTTCAATTAAGTAATTAAAATCAATCTTTATTTTAATCGCTTCAAATCTGTGCATACTGTTCTCTGTTTGGATTATTAATTTAATGTAAACATTAAATCTCTATAAATTTTCATTTTTTTTTCAGGAGATCTCAATAAATATACCCTACCCTACATTTCTTAAAATTGAATACTTTTTAAAAACTTGTATAAATCTCAAGAAATCAAAATAAAGTATAGAGCTAAAAAAAGATATAATTAAAAAATATAAAGATTGAATTAAAATAATAATTGTAATGTTTGTTGATGAATAATAATAATCACTTTTTCTGAAGGTCTTCCAAAAAGCAACTTCCTTTTGATTTGAATAAAGGTTTTAAATCTTTTCCTTAATGGTTCATAAATTCTCCTTTGAGAACTAGTGCTCCTTATGCTTAGAATATAGCAGATTAAGATATTAGGAGGGTAGTGATGTAATTGGATGCTAAAATATCAAAAAAAATTAATATTACCTTCTAATATTGCACTATTTTATTAGAGCGGAATCTTAAATTATGCAAGAATATCTTTGTAGTTTTTATCAGAGGATTTAATTTCTTATCCTGTTTTGACATCCCATAGACGGATAGACTTATCATCACTACCAGAAGCTAATGTATTTCCATCAGGAGAGAAACAGACTGAGTAGACAGCACTAGTATGACCATCTAATTAGGCTTTTTATTATCCTGTTTTGACATCCCATAGACGGATAGACTTATCATCACTACCAGAAGCTAATGTATTTCCATCAGGAGAGAAACAGACTGAGTTAATACAATTACTATGACCATCTAATTTGGCTTTTTATTATCCTGTTTTGACATCCCATAGACGGATAGACTTATCATCACTACCAGAAGCTAATGTATTTCCATCAGGAGAGAAACAGACTGAGTTAATACAATTACTATGACCATCTAATTTGGCTTTTTATTATCCTGTTTTGACATCCCATAGACGGATAGACTTATCATCACTACCAGAAGCTAATGTATTTCCATCAGGAGAGAAACAGACTGAGTTAATACAATTACTATGACCATCTAATTTGGCTTTTTATTATCCTGTTTTGACATCCCATAGACGGATAGACTTATCATTACTACTAGAAGCTAATGTATTTCCATCCGGAGAGAAACACACTGAATTGACATTACTACTATGACCATCTAATTTGGCTTTTTATTATCCTGTTTTGACATCCCATAGACGGATAGACTTATCATTACTACCAGAAGCTAATGTATTTCCATCAGGAGAAAAACAGACTGAGCAGACAGTTCCACTATGACCATCCAACTTATTCAATTCATGGACTTTTATGTTCTTCCATTTACAATTGAACATCTAAGCTCCATTAAAATTGACTCCACTAATATCCACATTCTCAAATTCTGATCCATTCAAATCACATCGTACAAAGTTACCACCAATTAAAGATGTATTCTTGATCCGTATATTCTCAAAGCATTGATTTCTGAGATCTACCTTCATCATTACCAGCATATGAAGTGAATTGGATCCACATTAGATGAATTGATCATCTATACTAGTAAGCATGACTAAGAATTTTAATAACTCAATCATGCTCTTATTACCTTATATCTTACTCATCAGTTCCTTTTTAATCTCTTCAAATACTTCCTAAGAATAGTCTTTCTGATTAAATTCATGATCTTTTAAATTCTTCAATATATTAATTATCTTCTTAATTAACTCCTTCTCCTTTTTATCCTAATTTTTGAGTGATTAAAGATATGACACACAATCTTTAATTTACTCTTTCT